AGTAAAAAAAAAAAAAAAAGGTCTGTCCCCATGATGGACAGATCGTTAATGGCTGGTCCTTGTGGTAATTACAGTATTACAGCCTACTCCTACCGATGAATCTGCTCAGCCGTGGTGGTCAAGAGCTCTACTTGCACTGCCTTGGTGGCCTACAGCGCCTCTGTGGTGGTCTCCAGCCCCACCTGCACCAATATGGTGGTCTATGGTCACCTCCCTCCTTGACTTTTTGTTTTCTATTTTGGACTGGGGAACGTCTGGAATCCGCTCCTTTAATTCAATTCAATTAAATTCAAGTTTATTTGTATAGCGCTTTTCACGATACAAATCGTTGCAAAGCAACTTTACTGCAAATTAAGTTTCTACTATATTTAGTGGTAGCTTATCAGTGGTGACTGTCAGTTAATGGGGGGGGTTCTGTCACGGTTATCGGCTGGTGTGCCTTAGATGGCCACCAGAGGTCACTGTGTCTGTTTGAGCACATGGCTTATTGTTTGTTGTTGCCATGTGCTCTCCTGTCTGTTGTCTGACCCCGCCCTTCTTGTTATCTCATTATTGTTTCAGTTACTCTACCTGTGTCTCCCTCGTTACCCTCCTCATTTGTCTCCCTATTTATTCTCCTGGTTTCTGCAGTCCTGTGCTGTTTTGTCGTTTAATGTCTGATGTCACTCGTGAGATGTGTGCTTTTGACACGTGTGCCTCCTGTGTGGCATTGCTCTTCCTGTTCCTGCCTTGCCCTGCTGTGTTGTGCCTTGTGCCTGGCTTGCCTGCTTGTTTTTCCCCCTCGGGGTAGTTTGTTTTGTTTTTACTATTAATAAAAGCCCATCGTCCTGCAATTGAGTCCTCGCTTCATCCCTCATCGGAACCATGACAACTCTTTATAGGTTTGAAATTATTTTAGTTTTTATCCTGGATTCACTGAATCTTGCAAAGTCTACTTTTTGGCAGCACTAAGTGACTCAAAACTGGGAAAAAAAAATCCCACCGTGTGTATTCAGCTTTACTCTGTATGTTTGCTCGGTTTACATTCCATTTCACCAGTTTTTAGTGGATTAGATCTGTTTATATTAATTTATTATATGATCACCCCAAAGCCACATTCACTTCACCTCCACCCTAAATATGCTTTATAACACGCATGTGATTGTTAACTTTTTCTTAGAGGATATTGAACATTTAATCTCCAGCTACTATGCAAATATTCTGTTAAAGTGAGCTGAGTTCATGTGGAATGTTAAGCATAATTGTGGTTAGCCAATCATAATAATTCCAGAAAATAAGACCCATCACCAGGGGCCCATTCTTCGTACGTCACTAACTCAGTTAGCTGGATTTGATTGTTGACGATTTGGCATGATCTTGGATTATTTGGTTCTTCGAAGCTCATCCTGGACTTGCTGTCATAGCAACAGGTCCGCAAGCTTAAACCTTCTTGGGAGCAGACTTATTTCATGTAAACAGGATTAGATTGCACCTTTTTAAGTGGAATTGATATTTAAAATCTATCCCAGCCAATGCTACTTTATTACAAGAGTACCCTACTGATCCGGGCATTCATTTGAGTGGCGACAGCTATTATGGGAGTGGCTTGATGGAGCGCAAGAGATGCAGATAACTTGATCTTGACCCTTAAGAAACTTTAATTAATGCTGTCACATAACAAATCTGCTTCAAAGATAAAATTACATGAATTGCTAATTACAACATTGAAATAAAAATGTCAAGCCTGTACAAATACTAGAAATCGTGATTATAAAAATTGGGAATCATGTAAAAAACAAAAAATTAAATAAAATAACATTTAATATTATAACATTTTTGTAGTTTTGTTCACTTGGCTGTTTACTTAAAAAGGTCCAGAAATCTGTCAAGTTTCATCAGGTGTCTTTTTTAATTATATGTCATTACGTTGCTGTCTTGCCGCCAACCAATCGCTGCATTGCTGATCGTGGTTTCGAGTATCGATACATCTGCCCTTTACGGGGAACACGAGAATGCGCAGTAATCTTAGACAACTTAATCCAGATATTTTAATCAAATCCGCAAATTCGTTTGAAGAACCAAATTAGCCAGAGATCAGTTATCAGGATTAGAAGATCTGATATCTTTCAAATCATCTCAGTTGTGTTAAGCGAGGTACGAAGAATGGGCCCCAGGAGCCCCAGCGTGCCCTTTCTGTTTCCGTTCAGAGCGAGTCTAAAACACACCCAGAGCATCATTCCAAGCCCACAGAGTGAGTCTGCTTCATAATGGGGCACTCAGCGTGCATGATCACATGGCTCTAGGTATCAAAAGAGCCCTGGGGAGTTTTAAAACACATTTTTGGGTTCGTTGAGGGGGAAACCCACTGAAAAGCATTTAATAGTAGCCTTCTGGAAAGCATCTACTGCCGAGTAGAATGTTTCGCTTTCTAAAGGCCTGTTGACACCAAGAATTAAAAGCATCACAAATTAAAGATCTATTCACTAAGAGAGAAATGAAAAGGCACTCTGGTTAGTCGTGTGCATTATTTCTGTACAGACACTCTCTTACTTTAACATTTCACTTACTTTAACATTTCACTTACTTTAACAGTGGCGCACAACAGCTTGAACATCAGCTGGTATTTTGGTCGCAGCATTATTTTTATAAAATGAAGGGGAAAACCTCATTCTAATTAATTGAACAATCTCATCTTATGTGTTTTGTCTTTGCCTATGCACACTACTGTATATATTTGGTGCCATTTTTGTCCAGTTTATCTATTTAAAGCAAAAGTTCACCCAAAAAGGAAAGTCTGTCATCATATACTGTATATTCATCATCATGGCTTTATTCTCTCTTTGCATAAGCAAAAGCATAAGCATGTTGAATCTGTATAGAGGTGGATTCATAAGTCATATTTACAAAAGGTGTTGGACATCATATGCAGTAGTGAACGTCTCATTGCATTGTGTCCAGTGATTGTGATGAAATGCGATTGTAGAATCACCTCTGCATTTGTTAGTCTGGGCATCATTAACTTGGACGGACTCATATTGTCAGTCTATAGAGTTTCGTTTTCTTGTTTTCTAGGGATGTGCCACTAACAATAGATGAATCATGATACCTCAGTCACGATATGATGCATATTGCAATTTATATTGTGCATACGTTGCCAGAGTTTTTGTTTGTTTCTTCTTGATGATTTAATAACAGATAGGGCACTTTGTATTTGTGCAACTATGCTACAGTAACATTCACCTTAAAAAAGCACGGCTCTTTGGAGAGTTAACATTATTGCACAATAGATTATTCGAGATATTGAGTGCATCCAGATATTTCTACAGACACACACCCCTGAACTACTGTGCAGTGTTGAGTTTCATGAAGCACCAGATCAGAATGATCTCAAACGTCGCAGGGCGATGGATCAGAGACCCTGACACCAGTGACCTCACAGATGGAGGGAGTGAGAGGGGGGAAAAGGGAGTGTTGTACACAGAGGCCTGAACAAACAACCGAGGATCAGAAATTCCTCAAACAGTGCGCCGTGGGCCGGATGTTCTCGCTCCAACAGAGCCGGGTGTGGTGGGATCTGTAAACACTGCTCTTTGATACGGGCTGATAGAGCTTCATATTACAGTACCACCACACCACTGTAACCCAGATGACATCCAGAGTATTGTTTGTTTATTATGTTGAAAAATGTGTATACAGACTACTGGTTAAAAGTTTTGAATAAGTGTGATTTTTTTTAAAAATGTTTTTTTAATGTCTTGGAAAAAAATAGTTTATGCTTACCAAGGCTTTTATTTGATGAAAAATACAGTAAAAACAGTAATATTTTGAAATATTATTACAATTTCAAATAACTGTTTTCTATGTGAATATTTTGTAAACTGTAATTTATTTCTGTGATGCAAAGCTGTATTTTCAGCATCATTACACCAGTCTTCAATGTCACATGATCTTTCAGAAATCATTCTAATATGCTGATGCTCAGTTATTGTCAATTATTAGTGCTCACTTATTAACAATGGTTCTTATTATTATCATTGTTAAAAACAGTTCAATGTTATAAACAATATAAATGTCTTTACTCTCACATTTAATCAAATTAAGCAAGTGTCCTTGCTGAATAAAAACATTACATTATTATATATATATATTTTTTAAATTGTACTTACCCCAAACTTTTGAATGATAGTATTTCATTATTTCCACAAAAATATTAAACAGCACAACATTGCTAATAGTGAGAAATGTTTCTTGAGCAGCAAATCAGCATATTAGAATGATTTCTGAAGAATCGTGTGACACTGAAGACTGGAGTAATGATGCTGAAAATTCAGCTTTTACAGTATATTCACAGTAATTATTTCAAACCAGTATTTTAAACCTATTTTCCTTTTCGTTTCAGTGACCAATAAGAAACCAGCACAGGTTTTCCTCACGAAGGTGAAGCAGTTTGAAGGCTCCTCGTCTTTCGTCAGGAGATCACAGTGGTCCATCAGTCAGCTGCGGCAGGTCAACGGCATCGACTCCGTCCGAGTGAGTAGATGGGCTCTTGCTCCTTCAGATGCTGTGTTCTGTTGGATGGCATTAATCTTTGACTGCTTCTCGTCATCCTAAAATGTTCAGGATTGCCCAGAGTTTGACTTGATATTTGAGAACGGATCCGACCAGTGGACTGCGGGTTCAGCTGGAGAGAAGTGTGTGTTTGTCCAGGTCCTGCATCACACATGTCAGCGGTTCATCCCCGAAAGAAAACCAGAGTTCATCAACTGCCCCTCCAAACTGCTGGGAGGTGAGACGGTCCCGTTCAAGCTTACCGTGCACCCTCTCTTTCACTATACACTACATGTTTTGTTTTTTTTAAATAATGGGGCACAACATGTTTTGAAGGAAGAAGGATTAAATTATTGTTGTTGTCAAAGACGTTATATGTGCAATTTACTTTGTAGTATATTTTTGATAATACCTAAAAAAAATATCCCATTCACACGAATGAATGAATGAAGGTCTATTATATGCATTTGGCTCATAATTTTATATAGTGGCTTATTGTACTATTATTGCACTACTATACTGTAGTAACAAAAACATAACTTTTAAAAATGTTGCTTTCTGTTTTCTTGTTTTGATGTTCGATTATTGCTAGAAAATAATGTAATCATATAAATCTGGTTTTCAAGCTATATTAAAGGTCGGAAATTTTGGTAACATATTGCGAAATAAAACCACTCATATAATATTTTTCCTAGTTGCGAGCAAACTGTTTGTGTAAAGTTCTTTATTATTCCACTGTATTGTCTGCAGGACAGCAACTTTGTGTAGTTCCTCTAATCATGAAAAGTTACTTTTAGTTTTCTGTGTCTTTGATGTTTATAGCTTATATCCTAAGGACATGATTAATGGAGGCTTTTCTTTTACTATAATTACCCTCATACTCACTTTATTTCAGATACTTTCTATTTGTTGACATATTATTGGATGTAATTTAGAGGTGTAACAATACATTAATTTTCTGAATGCAACCCTGCTTATGCAACTACATTAATCTTTACATATGACTTTTAAATAATCAGTTGTGTTAGTCAGTAATCAATTTAAAATGCCAAAAGATTCTCATTTTAAGTAGCTAATAATAATAGCTTTAAAGGTCCCATATTTTACAGCTTTCTGGAGTTTTATTTGAGGTTTTGATGTCCTTAAGAATATATATTTGCGGTATAAGTACCAAAAACCATCTCAATATATTTTTACAGCTCCTCTCTCAGGAGCTCTGCTGAGAACAGGTCAATTTTGGTCTGTCTAATTAATATTCATGAGCCTCTCTTCTGATTGGCCTGTTGTTTTCTGAGTGACGCACGGCCAGGCCAACCACAGGTAACTAGGGTCAGCCGACATCACAGCGCTAGCTGGAGGCAGCAAAACAAAGGGGAAACTGGAGGCGGCCCATTCAAACCAGCGCACTGAGTGCAGATTCGGCTACATAAGGAGCTTAAAATATAATCTTGTTGTGATGTTGGGTGCCAGAATCAACGTAATACAGCCTC